TAGAAAAAGATATCACAGTCAATGGAGAACATAAAAAATGACAATAATGAGCCATATAAGAATTATACATGGGGGCAGGATTATAGGTGAGGGATAAAAAATTTCAGATGGGCATGGCCCATGCTTGTAATCCCAGCTACTCAGGAGACTGAGACAGGAGAACAGAAAATTAAAGGCCACGGATTGGGGTTGTAGCTCAGTGGTAGAGCATTTGCCTCGCATGTGTGAAGCCCCAGGTTTGATCCTCAGCAATCTATCTATCTATCTATCTATCTATCTATCTATCTATCTATCTATCTATCTATATATATATAGATATTGTGTCCATCTACAACTGAAAAAAAAAAAGTTCAAGGTGAGTTTCAACAATTTAGCAAGACTCTGAGCAACTCAGGCCCTGACTCAAAATAAAAAGGGTTGGGGATGTTGCTCAGTGGTTAAGCACCCCTGGGTTTAATCCCTGGTATCAAAAAAAAAAAAAAAGATGAAAAGATGGCTTCAAGAGCAGAGAGCTATATTTTACCTCCGCCTTCACTCTTTGGCCAGTTCCTCATCTGCAAAAGTTGAACCTGCGCAGAGTTTCTGTATCCCTTAGGAGAGTTTAAGAAATAACCATGTGGTAGAAAATTACTACAACTCCATAAAGATGTTAACTATAGGGAAAATGAAGATATTAATTTCAACCTATGGCGATAAAGCTTAATAAACATTTCATCACTATAAAATTTGTGATTAATGTAAAAAGTTGACTTGTGCACACTTGGCTTTTTAACACAAACTTTGTTATTTTAATTAAATGGTTCAAAGTGTGTTTATCATAAAAGTTTTGTGTTCAATGCTTAAATGTTAGGGAAATTATTGTTAAACATTTTGATTTCCTGGTTGTGTTCAATGTTAAAGGGATATTATTTCATGATTGGAAAGATTAATAATTTGAGAATTAAGCAAAATATAAATTGGATTACATGTTCTTTTCATGTAGGTATCCCTCAGACAGACATTGWATATCTAAGCAACAGTAGATATGTTGCCAAAAGCTTGGTCCTTGTGCCTGATGCCAATCCAATAATGAGGATACAGTTTTGATAAAAAGGAAAAAGAAGGTTTACTGCTTTGCTAAAAAAGGAGAAACACAGGAGACTCCTGTCCCAAAGGCTGTGATTCTGCCCATCAGCAGGAATAGGGGGGTTTTAAAGAGGTGTTTCAGAGAAAATGAGATTAGAGAGGAGGAGAAGATCAGGGCAATGATCAGGGAGGAGGAGGCTAGGGAAAAGAAGATCAGAGAGGAGAAGATCAYGAAGGTGTCRGTTGGGAAAAAGTAAAAAAACATGTAAGTTTCAAAGCCACAAGGACTATAGTCTAAGCATCAAGTAAACCCTGTTACAGGTGTTACAAGTAGAGGATTGGAAATAAAGTCAAGGTGGTGGGGGAGCAGGAAAAGAGAATGATCATGGTCAAGGTAGAGAGAGGGAGAGAAAAAATAAAATGAAAGTGTTGCAGATGCCAATTAATAAAATCCTGCTGTAAATCATGATTAAATGTATTACAAGTTTTACATAAAGTTATTAGAAGGCATTATTCTAGATATTCAATCTGCCCAACTTTATTATCAATTATAGACACTAATCTTTTTTTTAATTTTAGGCACTAATCGTTTACCACCTGAAAGCTGAAAAACAGATTGAAAAAGAGCTTTGAAGATAAAGAAGTGTAACTTTATCATGGGTTTTTCTTTTTGTTGCAATCTTGGGGTCCAACCCAGGGCCTGGGGAATGCTGGGCAAGTACTCCACTGCTGGGCTACAGTTCCACCAGCCTTTGTTGTGGTCTTCTAATAATCTCCAATCTAGTATTACRTCTATTATGGATGCTGTTGAAACGCAAGTCTTGCCAGAACTGCAGTTCAAAGTTCTGCCAAGTTACTGAATGAGCTTTGACAAGTCCTTTAGCCTCCGAGACTCAGTTTCCTCTCCTGTAAAATGGGRATAAAATACAGCACCTATTCATTAGGCWTGTTCTTTCAAATGAGATTTAAGAAACAGTTCTTGGGGTGTGTTTGATAAYTGAAGGGCACAATTCTCTTGTGTGTTAGCGCTGTGGAGGAAAAAATGAAAGATTTCTCTCAACGCGCAGCTAGCAAAATAAACCGTACATTACAGAGCTGTTTCACTTTCTCCCTTTGAGATCCAAAGCCATTCTTTTGTTGCCTTTCAAGCGTCAGGCACAATGTTGTGATCCCAAAGTATCACAGTCCTTCAAGTATGAAAGCAGTAAAATATCCAAAGTCTATTTATGGAGAACTTTCTATATATTAAGGAATCAGTTTAATCAACAAAACCTCCTTTAATTCTTATTTTGGTCACCAGCGCTAATACGCAGCAAACGGAGTGAATGAAATTTTTAGTGTTCTTCTAAAATTTTTTTTAATGATAATGCTCTTAATGTTGGGCTTGAAATAAAACGAATACTTGACAAGGTCAGTAGATGAGAAAGCACCAGTGGCCTTGATATTTTCTAATTCCTCCTTTGCCCTGTTCTGTCCCCCGTCCCCACCCCCACCCAATTCGCCCAGACCTCTCAGCAAGACGGTMGCCTAGCAGGGCGACGCGAGGAGAGGGGGAAAGGGGGGAGGTGGGGCCGAAACCTAACTTCATTGTTCGCGGTACTGACTCTACCCGAAAAAGCCCGTTGGCAGCGCCTGCGCACTGCGCGCTCTTTGTGCCGGGCTGCAGCAAGCGGCTTGTTTGTGTGTCTCTCTCCCAGAAGCTGTGGAGGCGGGGCCTGAGAGGCGTGGCCTGCCCCTTCGAATTCGGATTGGATTCCCGCAGGGAGGTAGGCGGGCACAGGGTGGAGCTTCCGATAACAACACTCGGAAGCCGGGCTGGGGCTATTTGTTGCTGCGCCGCCTCCGCCCGAGTCATAGTCCGCGCTCTTCTGTGGCTCTCTTAGCAGCAGCAGCCGCCGCCGCCGCCGCCGCCGCCGCCCTATGGTCACTGCCTTCACTTCCTCTTTCTCTTCCTGCCGAGCTGCCTGCCTCCTAGCGCTATGACTGTCGTCTCTGTCCCGCAGCGGGAGCCGCTCGTCCTGGGCAGCCGTCTTGCCCCGCTTGGCTTTTCCACCCGCGGTTACTTCGGGGCCCTCCCGATGGTGACCGCGGCACCGCCGCCTTTACCTCGGATCCCAGACCCCCGGGCACTGCCTCCAACCCTCTTCCTCCCTCACTTCCTAGGGGGAGACGGCCCCTGTCTGACTCCCCAGCCTCGCGCTCCAGCAGCTCTGCCCAATGGTAGCCTGGTCGCTGCGGGAGGCACCCCGCGGGCAGCGCCAAAGAAGCGGCGAAAAAAAAAGGTGCGGGCCAGCCCGGCGGGGCAGCTACCCAGTCGCTTCCATCAGTACCAGCAGCACCGGCCGAACCTGGAGGGCCGCCAGAGCCCGGCGACTGGCCGGAGCGGAGCGCAGGAGGTCCCGGGCCAGGCCACCGTCTCGGTCCCGAATCCTGCAGCCACAACCAGAACTGAGGAAGCGAGCCCCGTCCCTGGGCCGCTGCGGCCCGCGGTACCCGGCCAACCCCCGCTGAGAAAAGAGGTGAGGGCTGCGAAGCGGGTCTGGGGGGCCGTTGGGAGTTTCGGCCCAAGACGGCCACTGGCGGGCTCTCGGGCTTGGGGCTCGGCTGTGAGGGGGTCTGGAGGGTGGGGGCTGGGCGAGGGGCGGCTGTTTACTCGGGAGGGAAGTTTCCGTGACGCCCGCTTGGTTTTGCTGGGGGAAGAGGGGGAAGGGGAGGCATGCGCTGGCGCTGCCGATTGGCTCCCGGGAGTCAGCCAATGAGAGGAGCAGCTGCGCCCCAGCAACAGCCCCGATTTAGAAGGCTGGCGGCGTTCCAGGGGGTTTCGGCGTTCCGGGCTCGCGCGGTGGTGGGGGAGGGCAGGGGCCCGCGGGAGGGCTGACGTCAGCGCGCGCTACGTGCCGAGCGCTCCGGCGCTCATGAAGGTGGCGGGGCAGAGTGGGGGTGGCCGGGGAAGGGGTGGGGCCGGCTTTGGGCTTCTACGGGCTCTARCGCCCTGCGTGGGCGCTGGACCCGGGCTGCAAGCGGCTCGATTTCGTTTGGCTGGCCCTTTGCCGAAGTGTGGGACTCCCAGTCCAATTGGGGCTTTGCTTACCGCGAGTCTGACTTACTACTTTGTGGGACTTTTAAAGTTTCAAAGTTCGCAAGAATGGCATTAGTTCTTCTTGGAAGAGGTCAATTTTGTGGGCCACTCTTAATGTTGAACTGAGTTTATTGTTCAGCAATTCCCATCGTGTACTATGCTGACATTGAGTAGTGGCGGGTAGTTTTACTTGTTCAGAAGTTTTCACTAATATAGTTGAATGACGTTATGTTGACCAAGTGCCGTGCAGTTTGATTTGGATAAAATGTATGAAAATTCATACGGAATTAAATGTCTAAAGTGACATAATCTTAGCAAATTATAATTTCAATGAATCATAGTTACGTGGAAACTGCTCTTGCCCTTGGTTGGACTAAGATTTGGAGTTCATCTAGCTTATGCCCTTGGAAAAAGTTACTAACTTTAAATTATCTTCTCAGGTTTCAASTTGTAAAATACCACGACTGAAAATATTAGCGATAATATAAAAGAGCCTTTTGTATTTCGTTTGCTGACCAGTAACATTTCTTTCTTCTGAACGGATATTCAAACGCCCGAGTTTGCTGGGAGTTACTGATATGGAATGTGTTACATTGTACTCTCCTGCTTTGTTTTTGAGTGCTACTTAYAAGTGTTGAAAGGACTGTAATCTAATTATACTTTTCCTTGACAATTTTTTATTTTAACCTTTTCCATCACAACTTCCTGGAAGGTCCACTTAAKTTAGGAAATTGATTTGATTGAATGAAACAAGTTCTTGAAATGGTTGTTAAATCAGAAGGAAGGCGGGGGCAGAAAGGAAACATTTTTTTTCCCTCTGACAAACATTTGGAAGAGAGCTATTACAGTTATAGCTAGATGGRCCAGAGGTTAGTTTGGATTTTTTTAGACATTTTAGAACTTGCTGATGTTGCATACTGGTTACAGCGGTGATTAATTGCATAATTTTTAGTGGCAGACAATAAGGTGTATTTGGACATCCGACTGATAAGTGTAGCCAGTTTAAAAGTATATAATCAAAATAGTGAGCTGAAGACTAGGGGGGAAACATTTTAGAAGAAAATATGTAAAATATGATGTGAATTTTATAAATGATTTTTATTTTGAAACTCTATTCACTTTTGTGTTCCTTATCTTTGTAGGTTTTAAAATCAAAGATGGGAAAATCGGAGAAAATTGCCTTTCCCCACGGCCAGCTTGTTCATGGTATACACTTGTGTGAACAACCAAAGATAAACAGACAGAAAAGCAAATATCACTTGCCACTAACCAAGATCACCTCTGCAAAAAGGAATGAAAATAACTTTTGGCAGGATTCTGTTTCGCCTGATA